CCACCGGGCCGGCCCCTAAAATTGACATTTAAAAAACTCTCAACATCATACCATCCAGCTACTAGAAAAAAAAAAGGAAAGATTTTCCTTCATAATACTTTGAAAGGCTACACCATTTTTAGAAAACTGGGCTTATTCAAAATATTTTATAAAATTCTGAAACTTTGAAAAGCTATTCTGCAAGACTTGGGGAGAGCAAAGCTTGATATTTTTTCCTTAAAAAAAGACAGTTAATTATAAAAGTACTTTTTTCATAATATAGTGAACAGCAAATATATGTCCCTTTAGATAGAGAAAAAAATACTTTTAAAATTAATTGTTCGAATCCCAAAATATATCCTTGAAAATTAATAATGTTTTTTATAAGAATAGAAAATTTGCTGTACATATTTCTTAAAAATACATTTCTTCTCATTTATTTTGTTCTAAATTTAGTGAGTTCCCATTTTATTTTTTTATTTTTCTTTCTCTCTCTTTTGTAGTTTATTTACTTTTTTTATTTTTTGGTTCTCTCTGCCTGTATGATTTCAAGATTAAAACAAAAGTAATGTTTAAGTAAATAATTACTAGGTTATATACAAGTTTGAGAATTTTTATTTCACTAAAATTTCCTGGAAACTAGTGAGACTTTTGGATTGAAGAATATCTCTTTTGTTTATGTGAGAAGACTTTTATTCTATTGTGTGTCCAAATATTATTCTTCTATTTGAACATCTACAATTTATGGCTTAAAATTATTTTTTACTTATGTTGTTTTTTCTTTTCTCTCTGAATAATTAATAAATTTTGTATTTTTGTCTTTCATATTAGCAGTTCAATTTTAAGCTGTTTTTAGTTTTTAGAGCCTTCAATGAATATTTACCTTGTTATTGAATTTTAAATTCCTTTATTTTTCTTTTCATGCAATGCTACCTTTTCTATGATTCTTTCTTATATTATCCTTAAGGCTAAGCTTCTTGAATTTTATTAAAACTGTATCATGCTTTTAAAAAAACTGTCAAGGGGTTCCAGTCAAGATGGCAGAATAGACAGTCCCCAGTGTCGCTCTCTCCCACAAATCAACCAATTTACAATTATAAAAATGTAACATCAGCCAAACTGGGGCTGCTGGAGCTCAGGGGAAGAGGAGAGACCTAAGGAGTTCACGAAGGTGGGAGAAACCATGATGAGAGAAAGAAAAAACGGCTCTGAGCATTTCAGGCCATGGCCACTTCAAGGCTGGAGCTGCTGAGCACACGGAGCAGGAGCTGGCAAAAGCTGCAGCTGTGCCCTTAGATGGAGTTGCTTGGAGACAGCAGGGGAGAAGAGGGCCTTGGTAGCCTGCCAAAAAGCAAGACCATTAATAGGGTTCCCATGAACCTATGCAAGAGCAAGGAGCCAGAAGAGCTGAAAAAGGGGAGCCATTCAGAGGCCAGTGAGTCATTGCAAGGGAGCAGTGCTGGGCCCATCCCATGGGAAGTGTTTGGAGCATGGGCAGTGGGGGAGACAGGCCCACTGGGGGCACACTGAGACACAGCAAGGACA